TCCTTACTTTAAAGTCATTCTATTCTTTTGGTCTTTTGTGAACATTTCCCTAAATTTGGTTGAAATGATTTTATATATAAATTGCAGAAAATAAAATCATCTTCAATTTGAATAATTTTTATGGTACACCTGTCAAAACTGACCAAGTGCTAGACCCAAAAGATGCTCCAATAGAGGTATGGGACTAGACAAGAAATTTTAGGCCAAATTTTATTTGTTGTAAATACTGAAAGAAATAAAGCAAGACACATAAAGTGGATTTATATAAACTCCTGAGAAAAATAAAACTCTTTTTAAATATTTTTTTATTTTGATAATGAATAAATGCTAGTTGATATGTGTAAGATTTTCTCTGAATTCAAATATGGAAAGTACCATTACCATTCATTTACAGAAGTAATAGAGATGGCACAATATAAACTCACAGAAACCACACAACAACATATACATAACCTTATGTCAATAAAAAGAAACAAGCTCTTAGTGTGGGAAGTCTTTCTATACATATGTTTCTTTTATTGGTTAATGAATAAAGAAGCTTCTTGGGCCTATAACAGGGAAGAGTAGAGCAAGACAGAAATTGTAAGCAGAGATAGAGCAGAAAATAAGGTAGAGTCTGAGAGACACTATAAAGATGCTGAAAGAAGACAAACACAACTTTTAGCAGTAAACCTTGAGCCTCGTAGTAAAGTATAAAATAATAGAAATGGGTTCATTTAAGATATAAGAGATAACTAGAAATGGGTTTAAGCTATTGACCAAAGAATATTACAATTAATATAGTTTATGTGGTATTATTTCAGACTGGGCGATTGGTAAATTAACAAGCAGTCTCCACCTACAAGTTCTGGAGTAGGTCAGGGAGTTGGAAACTAAATCCTAAAATATCAGAGAAGTAAACAAGTAAGTCAATCTAATACAAGAATTGGAACACAATCAACCTGTTGTAGGGAGGTCGCTGGTTTATCCCAGCTGCTCAGCCCCATAATAACCACACAAAACTATATTAATTAAACCACTGGTTGGCCTATTACCTTTTGCTTCCTATTGGCTATCTCTTACATGTAAATTTAACCCATTTCTATCAATCTGTGTATTGCTACATGTCTCTGGCTTACTGGTAAAATTCTGTTCCAAGTCTATCTCTAGTGGGCTACAAGGCTTCTTGATTTTGCCTTCTTTCTTCCAGGATTCAGTTTAGTTTCTCCTGTCTACTTCCATTCTTCCCTGCCAATCCAAGACAGATTCTTTATTAACTAATGGTATTCACAGCATACGGAAGAGAATCTCACATAATCAGGACTTGCAAGTACCTAGCTTAAACACAGCTTTTGGATGACAGAGACTGTCAAGATCTTTTTAGAAGTCTCTAACTGGTTGCAAGATTTTCATGAATATTGAATAGTCAAACTGCTCATATATGCACTAGAAGAAAGGAACCCACTAAAATTCTAATTTGTGATTCATGGGTTTTTGCAGCAAGAGAGAGAGGCTGAGAGATGACAAGAGAAAGAAAGACGAGAAAGGAAGAAGTTAATCTAAACATAATCCTAACTAGTGTTAAATTTTCAGCTCAGTGAAGTGAATAAACAGACAGGGAATTTCTATATTCATAAGAGCATAAAATAGATGCAATGGATTTAACATATTTTCAGTTCAAATTCTCAAATTCCTATAGTCATAAATAAATACCACTTGAATTCTCAGAACTGTGAGCTCTAATCAGAAACAGAAAGCAATAAAAACAGTTATATTGTAGGTATTAAATCTTAGAACATCACAAGAATGACAATCTAAAGGTTAGTATATATTCTCCTAAAATATTATCTGTTCTTTGGTACTGTAAGAGACTTTATGACCTGCTTTGATTTTACTTTTTGCTTTTACTATTTATCTTATATCTTCCTACTTCAGACAATGATAAAGCTATTCTTCCTTATGTGGCTGATTTTGGTGCCTTAAATACATTTGGCTGCTTAGGTACCAGGATTCTGAGTATATTCTGTCCATCTTTTTCTCTGTATAATTCTTTAAGAAGCGTATGGACCTGACTGTTCCAATATGCAAGCATTACAAATATGGTCAGAATGTAGATCACATGACGTGATCCTCCTGAGAAGCAGCTCCACAAGCCTTTGTGTTGAAGACTTTGAAACTAGATTCTGTGTGACCCTAGCTTTGGTTACCATTGAATTTTCAGCATTGTTGCTAAGATCACAATTTCCCCTTGTGCTCTCAGTGACTTTCTGAAACCCCTCCTGTGCTGACCTGACACAGCTGAAGGAATTCACCATGGTGTGGGTCCAGAACATAGTTTCCTAAGCGTCCTCATGGGAGGAGATTCCCAAATGGAACCCTGCAGGAGGATTTTCTAACTGGCAATTCTTCTCTGCTTGGTGAGGTGTCAATTAGACTTTTATTAACAAAATATTATAAGAAATGGTTTCTGTGAATAAACCAAGTATACTCAAAAGATAAATCTTGTGTGGACATCCTATTTGCCGAGCTCCTCACTGCCCACTGGCTATGCTCTCTACATCCTCACTCTTACTTGGTTGCCTAATTCAAAATGGTACAGATGATGTGCAAAGCACAATTTAGAGAGCAACATTCAAACTGAACCCTAAACTTTAATCTTTGAAAAAAATGCTAACAGGAGAAATATATATATATATATATATATGTATATATATATATGCAAATATTTATTTGCCAAAGAGTGTATTTCCGAATTAGAGCTTTCTTTGTCTTGTTCAACATTTTTATAGGAAACAGCAGGATCAAGATCCTGACAGGAACCCACTGAACAGCAGACCTGAGCTAGTGGGAGCTCAAGACGCTGGACCAACAGGTACGGAGCCTGCATGGGACAAATCTAGGCCCTCTGCATGTGGGTGACAGTTGTAAAGCTTGATATGTTTGTGGGGTCCCTAGTAATGGAACCAGGCCCTATCCCTGATGCATGAGCTGGTCATTGGAACCTATTTCTTGTGTTGGGATGCCTTGCCTGGCTTTGATGGAGAGGGAGGAGCATGGTCCTCTCTCAACTTCATAGGCCATGCTATGCTGACTCCCATGGGGGACCTGCCCTTTTCAAAATGGAGAAGGCACAGATGGAGGGTAGTAAAGAGGTGAATGGAGGGAGGGAATTCTATGGTTTGTGTGGAAAATAATAATAAAAGCAAACAAATCATTAAAGTTAACAAGTAAAACAAAACAAAAAGAAAAGACTACATTTAAATTTTTTTCCATTATTTACAACACAATATCATTGTTTTCTTCAAGTCTTCTTAACATTGTCTTTCCTGTTCTGAGGCAATCAAAAGTAGGATATTATGATAAGATGTATGAATTTTGCCAGTTGTTGTTCTTTGAATTAGTTGTTGAACTAACTCTCTCATACACATGTAATTGCACAACACTCAGCTGTAATCACAACTCATATGAATATGAAAAGGGCTTTAAGGATGAGATCCATACTTATTTAAATTTTTGTCATACTATTATTTCATAAAAGAATAAGGTTTATTTCCTTGTTTAAATTTTTTCATCAACTTTTTATTGATTGTTTGAATTTCACAAAATACACCACAGCCACATTCATTTCTGAGGCCTTTCAGATCTGCCTTCCACCCTTATAAGTTCCCTCCCCAAATGACAATAGAAAATAAAAATTATAAAACAGTCTCATGGTAGAATGTTCAGAGTCTCCCAGTGTGTCACACTGTGTACTCTTTAAACAGCTTTTCTTGAATGTTCACTGCGATGAATCATTGGATTGCTCAAGGCCTCTGGATTCTGCTACACTATTGACGCTGAATCCTCTCTGAGACTCCTCTGGACTATCCTGTAGCTGACCTGTGTCATGGAGATCCTACAACTTTGGTTCTCCAAATCCTGCCCCATAAATTCCAGCAGCTGATAGATGTAGTATATGTTGGTTGGACCAGCTCAAAGCTCTGGGTCTGGCCCTGGGTGGTAGCTGAGTTGGTCACCAATGCTAGCTCTTTATGATGCCCAACTGAGAGGTGAGGCTGACTTTTCTGTATCCACACATGATGCCGCAGGGCGATTGGTAATGAAAAATCCCCAGGCTATCTTAATACAAAATATACAGCTTTAATAAACAGAAGTAAGACTTACAACAGCTTACACCAGAATCCAAATGATCCGTCCAGGCGCAGGAGCCAGGCAAAAGAGAGCTAGCGGGAGCACGCTTGCTAGGTTTATAGGCAAGCTTTAGCCTAAGGGCGACACGCCCCAAAAACAGAATGTGATTGGCTGAACTCCCCTATCACACACAATCAGGGTGTGACCCTCACCAATGTTACCAGGGTCAACTATCTGACACTGACAAGATGAGGGGTAAGGATCAGTTCTCCCACACTAATGAGGCCATGCCCATCCACACCTTTCTTTAGGGTCAGCTCTACCTAACTGTTCAGGCAAGCTGCAGGACAAGCTCACCGTAGTCCTGTGGCCATAAATTGGTGAGTCTAGCTCTCCCATGCCTGCACCATTGGGGCCAGCTCTCCACACTGCCCAGGCTAGGAACAGGGACATCTTTTCTGCACTTGTATCACTGTTGGTGCTACTCTGTGGTGACTCGTGAGGGGCTGGATCAGCTAAGCACTAAACTCAGACAACATTCTGGCCTCACATGGAAACCCAGATGAAGGAGGTCCACATTGCATGGACAGTGACACAGACCCCTGCAACAGAAGGACCATAAACTCAGCCATGGCCCTCTGCAGCAGCACAGGTCCAGATAGCATGATGGCCTCAGATAGCACTTCAGGCCTCTCACATCAGGCAGTTCCTTGCTGCCTTCACGACTACAGTCCCAGTTCTCTTGAAAGAGAACAAACTGCTCCCACTTCCCTTTCTGTCTCATCTCTCCACCACATATTTGCTCATCATAATGCTGCATGTACAGGATAGTGCCGAGGCCTCTCCTTAGTTGTTAAATTTTCATTTTTGTTTGTTTTTGTTTGATAAAGAAGAGGGTTTATTTCATCTCATAGCTCCCTGTCCATTGTTGAGGAAATGTAGGCCAGGGGTTCAAGGAAGGACTCAGGAGGCAGGACTAAAGCAGATACCTTAGAGACAATATGCTTAGTAGGTTGTTCCTTATCATTTGCTCAGTTTTTTTTTCATTATGTCTTTTAGTTTGTGAGATTATAATATAATTGCATTATTTCTCCCTTCCCATCTAATGAAGATATGCCTTGATAGAGTAATCAATGAATGTTCAGAAGGCCGTTCATAAACTAGAACAATACTAAAATGTAGTTCATGTGCCTTCTCTACTCACTCTTTGTTTTCTTTCCTGTCTTTACACACTTTTGATAAAAGAATAAGAAGGATTTTATGGAAATGAAAGCTGTGGCTGCCACACAGGCCAGTAGGAATCCAATCACATCCAGAGAGTGGTACTGGTACCAGGTGAGGTTGTGTGCAAGTGGCCTCAGGTGCTTGGCCCCTTTGTGGCACATGACAAACTCAATCCAGAAGATGACTCTGTCCAAGGGTTTCATGGGCTGTTCATGGTGAATGGTTGACAACCACATTGCATTCTCTTTATAGCTGAAAGAAGGAAAACAGACATTAACTTACATAAGAAATGAAAAATGCAAATGTGTAAATTTTTGTATAAACATAAAAGTTAATAACACCATATAGAAGGAAAATATAGTTTGTTCCGTATTCATGACTAGGAAGATCTTCAGAGGCATGTCTGAGTTCCTTGAAAATGCAAGATTAAGCATTTCAAAAAAAAAAACAATGAAGATCAAATATTTCTAAAGTAGAGTTTAGAGATACTTAAGTCTTAAATATAAAATAAATAAAAAATAAGATATTATATGAGTATATAAAGTTTCAGTTACCCATAAGCAATTAATAGTGATTTGTGTACAAAATGTGTACAGGTGTCAGGATGTATAAGTAGAAGGCAAATCACTCTTGAGTCCTCAAGGTGGTACATCTCTGTGTAAATTTGATAAAGATTGTAATGAGATTTTTATGGTACATCAATCAATGATTAGTGGTTTTAATTACAAATGTGTCCTAGTTCTTATCAATTAGCTCTACTAGCTGCTTCTCATTGTTTTCACGTTTTTCTTATTAAGGTCATCAACTAATTGATAAAATTAATAGGAAGAATAATTTTCTTCTCTGTTTCTGTATTGAATTTTTTTATTATTTCTATGATTCTTAATGTAAATTATAATCACAATAAACTTTTGCAATTACTTTTATATATGTGTGTGAGGGAGTATGTATGAGTGTATATGTCTGTGTGTGTGTGTGTATGTGCTATGAGATCTGCTGGCGTTAGAGTTACAGACATTTGTAACCAACTGATGTAAGTGTTGAGAACAGAACTCTGGTCCTCTGCTAGCATAGATCTTCTCTTATCCACAGAGCCATCTTTCAAACCTAATTTTTACACTTATTGTTAATATTGGCTTTCTGTTAGCACTATAATTTTAGAAGTATAAGTTGTAAAAATTTCACATTGAATATCAAATACAACGTGTACTTGATTCTAATGCTGAAATAATTATTGATGAGGATATAATAAAGAAAGGTTATAAAGACAAGTCATCAATTCTCATGTCAGTTTAATGCAGTAAAATAGAAATTGTAATAATGGTAACTACTGTCTTTATATTTACAAAGTAAAATGAGAGAATTATGTATTTATTCTTATTAAATAATCATTTCTTAGTATGCATGTTACATTTATTTAAAATTTATTTTGTAACTTATCTGATTAGGAAATTGGAAGAGGGGAAGCTCCTTAGGGAAGGGTGAGGAAGGTTAACACAAAAGAAGGGCAGACAGTAATAGAGTACCAATAAAAATATCAGAAAAAGCCATGAACAATTTTACTATTAATAATTTATTCAAATACCCCATAAGACATATAATTTTATGTATAAATATACATATATAATTTTAATGATCTTTTCCTCTTCAGGATTAGTGGTACTCAATTAAAGAGTCAAAGAGCACCTTACACAAACCTCAATACCAAACACAAGAAAACCTTTTTTTAAGAGATTTGTCAAGTCTATCAAAGAAACTCCCTAAACATTGAGCCTTTGATGTTGTTTATTCTCCAAAGGTGGAAAGTAAGTTTCTATTGCTAAATGAGCATTCAATTCAGAAGCAGAGTCCAGAGACCTCTCAGCTGTAACTGACTTGACACCCCCCTACCTGAAAACTAGCTTTTGTGGTATAAAACAGTAGAGAGAATTGAAAGATTTGAAAAGCCAGAGGGAACTGCTTTTAGTTGTTTCCTTGATAAACTATACTCATACAACAACATGAGCCCCTAAACAAGATCTGAATAATCTTGACACCTATAGTCATTTTTAACAACATAGGTCCCTAACAGAATCAGAGTAAATATGAAACCTATAGTCATTCGAAAAACATGATCCCTAACAAAATCTGAAAGAGGAGGACATCTATAGTCATTCTCAAAAACATAGGCCCCTAACAAAATCTGAATAAGTAGGACATCTAGAGTTGTTCTCAACCAAATAAATCCCTAAACAAGCACTAAATGTGGAACTTTTTGTATAAACATTAAAAATAATTACATAGTATTATCACAATATTCTGTGAATAAGATTGGTTAATAAAGAAGTGACTTAGGTCAAAAACAGGACTGACCAGAGCTAGGCAGGTAAAACTAAGCTGAATTCTGGGAGAAAGAAGGTGGAGTCAGAGAGAAGTCATGCATCGATTGTTCTGAGAGGAGATAGATAGTAGACCCTTTCTGTTAGGCCAAAACCACATGACAATATACAGATTAATAGAAATGGGTTAACTTAAGATACAAGAACTAGCAGAAAATATGCAGAAGCTAATAGAGAAAGCAGTGTTGTAATTAATGTAGTTTCTGATTGGTTAGTTTGAGTCTAAGTGACTGGGAACAAATAAGCAGCTTCTTCCAAAAGATCTCAATAAGGATGACACCAGTAGCCATGCTAACATGAAACAAGGTAGATTTTGCTCTGGTCCTAACTCCACACAAATTTTTTATAGGCACAGAAGTAATGCTGAAGGTCGGAAAGAAACATTCTTTATTCAAAACAGGTCTTTTTCAAAAAAGTTTCCAAATGAATTTTTTTAATCAAAGAAAAAGATTTATCAACATGTTAATTTGCTTCATAGTAATAAGTTTTCATTATTTAAATTTATTCAAAGACAGGTTGCATATTTAAATATCTAACCATTCACTTACTTTTATGTTAATATCTATGCTATCTTGATGGAGAAAGTTACAACTTTCATAAAATTTACTTATCACTTTTAAACATTCAGTTTCTCTGTTGTAATATTTTCCTATGGCTTCTAGGTGTACAAAATCTGGTACCACCTCCAACATTTCATTGTTGCAAGGAGGACTGCTTGTTGATACCTGGTAAACCAGCTAGCTTAGTCATGAAATAATTACACGGAAACTGTATTAATTAAATTACTGCTTGGCCCATTATTTCTAGCTTGCTACTGGATAACTATTACTTACTAATTTAACCTATTTCTATTAATCTGTATATAATCATGTGGCAGGAGTGTAGCAGCATTGTTTCAACATGTCTATATCCAGAAAAGGGGAAATTATGTGGGAGCTCTTCTGTCTATGTGCTGTGTTTATTGGTTAATTTATAAACCTTTTGATCCTATGGCAGGGAAAAAATAATTAAGGGAGAAAACCTAGGCTGTATGATGGGAGAAGGAAGGCAGAGTCAGAGAGATGCCATGAAGCTGCTGGAAATAGACATGCTGAAATTTTGTTGGTAGGCCATGACCATGTGGTAACATATAGGTCAAGAGAAATGGGTTAAATTAATGAGTAAGTGTTAGTCAATAAGAAGCTAGAGTTAATGGGCCAAAAAGTGATTTAATTAATACATTTTTCTGTGGTGATTTCCAGTATAGACAGCTGGGAACCAACAAACGACTCTCCCCTCCAACAAATTGGTGTCAATGTGGTAGACTAAAATCCATGTAAAGTGTGAGAAACCTTGAAAAGGAATTCTATACACAAAAATACAGAGTTTAATACAGCTTCTTGCTGTTTGCTGACAGTGTGCTTCAGTTCTCTTCAGAGATTTTTTTCTGATTCAGTCACGACCATTTTGAAATGCCAGCTTTCTAGCCTTGCTGCCATAATATGTATATATGTATGTAACAGCATTCATAAAAATGATGCTATGAATTTGAAAGAGAACCAGGAGAATAGATATGAGAGGGTTTGGATGAATAACTAAAAGGGAGAAATGATGCAATTTTGTCATAATTTCAAAAACAGAAATTGTAAAAATAGATCTTCTTATGTTTAAATATACCATAGATAAATACCTCTACTAGGAGGGATGAAGACATCAGAAGGGGAAAATATCGAGAGCTCTTGAGAGACTGAGACGATTGCACCAGCAGAGTCTGTGTTTAACTTTACATTCAGGAAGGTTGAACATAATCATCATTTTTCTAAGCAGAGATGTTTAGACAAATGAGATAGCTAATGATACATGAAAATATTTAATACACTCCCACGGTGACATAATTCAATCTCAGAGAAGAATGGCACAACATTAATAGCTCATATTTATATGTACATATTTTGACAGTTCTAATAGTCTACTTTTGACACCGCTATATTTTAAATGTTTTGGTGGTTTACTTTTATTCATGTGTTCTATGTTATTTTCATTGAATTTCAAGTTGTTATTCTTTGATTATTTATTCATGACAAATATTCCTCATCCACAATTGTCTCTGGTCGGAAGTTCTTTGAAACAATGCCATCATGTTGACCAATGGGAGTATGGAATCATCTGGCCCATCCAGGGAGTAATTTTACATAGTGTAGTTTTAAAACATGATCCATGAATGGAGTCACATGAGTAGAATTGTGAGTGCTTAAGAGTGCACTCTGGGAAAATAAGACAAGAGTCTTGTGTCCTCAATTTCTTGAAAATGCAAGATTTTCTTTCTTTCTTTCTTTCTTTTCTTTTCTTTTTTTTTCTTGTTTTTGGTTAGTGTGTTTCACACTACTTCCAGGTATAGCAGATACAAGTGGACCTATTTCAGGTTAACCACTACTGCTTGATATTATTATCCAGATAATGTTTAAACTGTCCTTTGTGCATTTCTGTTGTGATTTGATAGAAAATGGCTCCCTAAGGGAGTGGCAATATCAGGAGGTGTGGTCTTGCTGGATGAAGTGGGGTAGGCTTTGAGGTCTCTTTGCCTCAAGCTTATCTCAGTGTGACTTTCAGTCAACTTCACAGTCAGAAATGCTAAAAAAAATATTGAGTTATTGATAGGACAAGAAAGAGTTACAAGGGATTATGGAACCTATATTTACATGTGGACAAGAATATAAACATGACTTGGGTTTTCCATAAGAGTCAAAATTATATAAAATCTAGTGACTCTGCCTTGTCTGTTTCTAAAGAAAATATATGGGCTCTTCAAAGAACAGTGGAGAACAGGCATAGAGACATCTTTTTCTCCCTGAAATTCTCCTTTTTTTATAATTAAAAATAATCTGGCAAATGGAG